CACGAGAACAGACTACTTAAAATATTCCAAAAAATTATATACAACACATGAAGAACATATACAAAATGTGAAGGAATATTAAAATTGCAAAAAAAAAAATTAGATACTAAAATTATTTGTCAATATTGCAAGTACTATTTCTATACTCTATACAATCTTACACTTCAAATGGATCATAATCGTTAGTTATAAACATTCGGAAGCGTACTAAGCAAACCGACTAGTTTTTATTCATGTATCTTCAGTTAACATTAAAGTGAAGTGCTAAAAATGTTTTTTTCTCCGCTAACACATTTTTATTTAATTTGTCCTCAGTTGGTAATCTCCATTTTGAGTGATATATCTCACCCATGGTAGTGCCTGATATCCACTCTTTTCAATTATTTTTAGATAGCGCACTTGGATTCCTGAAGTAGTAAAATATGGAATTTCAAATTTCACTTGAATTGGTGGCTTTCCTTCTACATCTTCCCCAATGACAGATGGTAGACCAAAGTGTGCTCTCATCAAATATTCTTTTCCACCAGGGAATGACTTAATAAACCAAGTTATAGCACTTTGCTCTGGAGAATATTTAACACTGCCAATAGTAGTCTTAAATTTAGGAGAATCCGCATCATTGGGTACTGGAATTACTATTTCTACATTGTTGGCTGTGGAACGTCTCTTAAACTGTGATCTAGCTTTTATCATGTATTCCACTCTGCTATGGGCATGCCTTTCAATGACAGATTCAATCCATATCAGAGGCTTTACGTGGGTGTTTAATCTATAAGACATCAATTCAAACTCTCCATCAGGTGGAATAAAGGAAATTGTCCTATCATTTTCGAATCTAGACAGCCTGACACATTGATGGAATTTCACATCTTCCAACTCAACAGATTTGGACTTTCCACGTCCTGTAGATTCAAACAACACTTTGTCATTTAGACCAAGCCTTAATTCTGGCATTCCAGACAAGTAAACTCTCATCTTTATGGCACCAACAATTTCAGAACTCAATACATTTCCATTAGCATTTGCTAGAAGGTTCACAGATTCTATGACATCTAGAAATACTTCGTTTTTGCGGTACTTTATTCCTTCTGATCTCCAAGATACTGCATTAGTTACAGCCATAGGAATGCGTGGTTGAATTTCAAGCTTGTGGCCTTCTTGAGTAATGTACTCTTGTAATATCTTACTGTCTGTGGTTTGTGGATAACCAAAATCTATTAATTCATCTAGGAGCTCATAAATGACTACAAAATTGTCTCTTATACTCTCCTCTTCAAGTTCCTTGAAATATTCTTGCATCACTTGCACCAGTTTGTGTAAGAATACAAATACTAAGGAAATGTTTGCATTCTTCTTTGTAGTAGACACAATATACAGATTATTATACTTGATGTACGCATATGTACATTCAGCAGTTTGAATAATCGGAGTAAGATTCCCTTCCTCCTCGCGTTCCATTACTAGAGGCATGAATTTTTCTATAACACCCGTTTCTATGTCTCCGCGATAATTTCGAGAAATCAAGACCTTCCCTTTTACATCTAAGATATATATCGCAGAAGTCGACATCTTTATAATTTGTTATACTGCAACGAAAAAAAAAACTCTACTATTACCCTAATAAACTAATCTTTATTTAATGTTTAAATTAAGAAAAGGAGAAAGAAGAATGACAGATAAAACTTTTCAACAATCCAACTATCGAAAAAGTGTAATAGAGGTTATGTTATCGAGTGTTATAACGTACTGTTATTGAATTAGGGAATGAGAAATTCAATAGAAAACTTGAAGTATGCATGAAATTTATGTCAAGAATTTAATATATGGAAATGTTATATAAAATATAATTTCATAAAAAGTATAATTTGATGTTGAGGACATGTCAAGAAGATCGAATATGAATTTTATACAAAAATGTATTGAATATATAAGTACTTACGTGTTTTTTAGAAATATAAAGCCTTTCAGTGATTTACATGAAAGATAATTTCTCTTGCGGAAGAGTAATAGAAAATTATTTATTGACCAGAATCCCTCCCATCTCACTTGAGTGCCACTACCTGAAGTTGCTCAGTATGAGGAATAATGAAGCGCATGCGCGTTAACTCTTATTATTGTTGCTTTTGCTATTTATTTATTTATTTTTTTTTTTATATATATAAAACGTGCTATTTTGTTAACTTTATTGGAACAATAAAAAAGCACAGTTATTTATTAGTTTCAGAAAATTACTTATTAGTCTCAGAAAAATGTGCTACTGATATCATGAACTTGACAGTTATCATATTCATGCCAACTTTAAATTAAATTATTGAATTAAATTAATATTCCCATTTGACTTCCATTGCAATTAATATTTTTCCAGTCCTCAAATAATATCTGACGTGTTATTATCATAAAATAAATATTTTATCTTATCTTCTGCTAAATATATACGTATATAATCATAAACTTTATCTTTCAGTAAAATTTTTTATCTATAAAAACTCTTAATTACCGATAAATGTAGTTTATTAAGTAATTTTTATTTAATAACTATTTTATATTTTGAGGAACAACACAAATCGTAAATTTTGATGTATTAAATAATTATTATAGCTATATCTAATGTTATTAGTACGCATATTTATAACGTATATCTATATCTAATGTACTACAAGTACGCATATTTATAACGTTTTATTAAAATTTTATGAATCCAGATATACATCTACTATATATTTTTGCGAAACAAGACGATTGAAAAATAATTATTTCGTTATATATAATCTATAGCTTCTGTAATTATTATACATAATCTATATCCTCAGAATATTCTCCAAAATGGAGTGAGAAAATAATTACTTCAAAGTTACTTAATAACAACGTATACATACTTATCATATACATCGTTTTCGCATTACTGTAGTCTTCTAATTTTACTAATTAGAACAAAATGAAAATAAATAAAAATGGGCGCGTTGTTTAAAAAAAAAGAAGATCTATCTAGATCAGGTTCGCGAATTTGAACGTTACATAGAAGCATCAGTGGCCATCGGTATTACGTAATAAAAGTGTAGTATACCGAAGTAGGCAATTTGTTCGGCACAAAAGCGCATCGATGGCCTTATGGTGTGGTGCGTTCGCTACAAAGTGTAAAGTATAAAAGAATGAAGAAGAGGTGATTGAACCCGTTTGACTGCGCGAGCTTTGAAAGGAGAACGGAAAGTAGAAGATGACGCGGGAACCAACCCGATCACTGTTGGCTCTTTCTCCTCGTGGAAGTGCGTAGGTACAACGATCGGAGCCTTTCAATTTTAATTAAAGTGTAATTTACGATGTCATTTCACCGTTGAAGTATAAAAGCGTGACTCGGGGCGTGAAGAGCACTTATAAGAGAAAAAATTCTATTGATCGGATCCTCTTGATTTTTTCTCCCGTTTCCATTGAATATTTAATATTATAATAGAATATTTACACGTTAAATCAAAAACTGACTTGTAAATAAAAAGAACAATATGAAACGCATATCTGATACGAAAAATAGACTAAAAATCCAAAAGCAGTTGATACTAACAAAGTTACTGATACAAAAATACCTGATCTATAGTATAAAAATTAATCGTACATAAATCGCATAGTAAACATAAAGTAAACGCGTAACATCGTTAGTATGATTTTCCTACTTAATACATAATTTAAAAGAAGCAATTAATTTGCAGAACAGTATATTTACATTTAAAACTGCGTGCAACCAGCACATTTTTATAGTATTGCAATTACGATGACTCTGCACTGGGTAAACATCGTACATTAACCAATCCCTTTTGCTATTTTATCCGAGGGAGGAAAAAATAAAGAGAACGAACGTATGGAGAACTCCGAAACTGCTGACCTAGTCTCATCAACGAAATCAGAGATTTCGAGAGAGAGAGAGAGAGAGAACATAGCCGATCGTAGCAAACAGCATAAATGTATTTGCGCAATAGAAGGACAAATATTGTTTCCTCCTTCCGTACTAATCGTTAACTTGGAGATCGTTTATCTGATCGACTCTCGATTGTCTGCACCCGGCCTCGATCCAAACTACAAGAGAGGAATATTTACCTGGGCATGATCGACTCATCCTAAATCGCAGCACTGTTTGCGCGAAATTCCGCGAGAAATTCCATTGTAATTGAACGGGATCGTCCCGATTATAAAGTCAAATCATTGATGAAGTAAAGAACCTCTTCCACTACTAGAAAATGCATTCTCTTTTCTTCCTGTTCCCTCTAATTTTCTTTTTGTTTCTCAAATTTTCTACGGTATTATCGAAAAATAGGTGATAGAGAGAAGATGGCAAATAAGTGATTTATATGAGATATGAAATATGCTTGTTAATAGTCAAATATGCTTGTTTTATTAGTAAAATAAGAATATATATATGTTCGCGGAAATATTCGAACATTTGTAAATATCTTTCATAAAAATATATTGTACGTGTTATAAAAAAATTTTTCAGACTTTTATTGATAGATTAATGAAATATCATTTTCACGATATAAACTTTGAAACAAATTTGAAATTACAATGACTAATTAGTATAATAAATACAGTAAGTAACTAACTATTTAAATATGATTTTTGCGAAATATATCTTAATTAAAAACTTTTATTTTAATAATTGAGATTTTCGGGGCAATAAAAAAACGTAGATGATTTCTGTTAAAAATTTAATACATTCCCTCAGTATCTTAAATTACTAATACACTGTTTACAATAACAATATTGTTATTTATAGTCATACGGATATATATATAGTTTTATAATACTATTAGATTTATATTACTAGAGGAAAATGCTTACTAATTCGTTAACAATTCCAAACATTCAGGCAATCGTAATTTTCAATATATTTACAGCTTTTCTTTCTTTTTTATATTGGATTATTTAACGTGTAGTAGTCCCAGTATGAAAAAAATATAATTTGTAATACATATTTATAACATGAAATCGAAAGAAACATACAGTTAATAAATTAAGTACTTTGCATTAAAACGCAATTTATTATATCACGAGAACAGACTACTTAAAATATTCCAAAAAATTATATACAACACATGAA